TTGACCTTCGTTTGACAAGATGACACTGACCGTCCGCAAGCAAAACAGACTTTCAAGTGATGACGTAAACTAGACGTCAAATACAGCAGTAGCAAGGAGAAAAGTACATAGCGAAGTGGAACGAAACGGTAAATTAAAATGAATAAATTAAAATAATACAATAACAATATAATATCAATAAACCAAAACAATGATAGAAATATTAAATAGTACATTCAAAAGTGCCATTTTCATTTATGCATTACACCTGAATTGATTTTTAATCAACTACCAGGTGGCAACGTGCGGCAGCCGTAAAGCGCACGCATTCGAAGACATGACTGTGTTACTTGCACTCTGAGGCATAACAACAAGGAAAAAAGGAAAGTTTCTAACCGTTGGGATATCAATCTCCCTTACAATTTCATGACTGGGGGGTCATCTATGATGCCCTTCAGTTGAAGAACCCTATGGTGCAGCATTGATCCCCATTTCTATGCTATTAAATAGGAGTGCCTTACTTTTAGCCGGAAGAACCTTCAGTGATGTGGCAAGCATGCTGTGTAGAATTCCGTTTCCTTTCCGTAGAACGGTACTTACTTATCTATTTAGGAAGGAAAAGTGAAGTGACCGCAAGGCGAGCGACTCAACTGGAAATGGAACCCTGAACCCCCACTGGCTGAGTACTCCTGGTAAAACAAAAACACTTGAATAAATGGTACCACAGATAGCGAGTGGCGCGGTACTTTGCCCTAGAATGTGATTCCACGTCCTGGTATTTGCTCACTTTCACATACAAAACTTACAGGGTTGCGTGAAGTTCTTTTGCTGTTGTTCTTGAGGTAGTTTGCAACAACGTATCGTCGCAGACGACCTGGAAACTTCTTGAATGAAGATTAGCCCACTGCTGCAGATTACCTCAACAGCAATCCAACTTCAGAACACGATTTATCTTTTATCTGTTTAAGATGGTCCGCGTTAAATGGTTGGTGGTTTAACTGTATTGCTTTGTGTAAATACGCTGTTTTTGTGCAGTTTTTCGACACGTAGACATTATAATATATACTACAGCGTATTAAGCAATTACAAATAAAACCTTACGGTTGCCGTAGCGATTTCGTAGAGCAGGCTAATGATATCATCGAAAAATTCAATGCCGATCAGGTGGGCAAACTTAGAAAGACCTTCAAGTACTGGAAGCAGCAACTTCGAACGAGACATCTGCCGCAGGAGTCGAAAGTAAACATGAAACACCGATGTTATGATCTTCGTGTGCTAAAAAATCGATGGCATTAACGGTTTGAACCAACGTCGAAGGTCGAAGGCTTACGTTTTGCAGCACTGTGCTTTCTTTCGTTTCAACTTCCGCCTCCTCCAACTCGCGCTTAAGCAGCTCGACTCGTTTATAGTGCTTTCGTTCATTGCGACTCATCATCCGCATCATTCTTTTACGTCGGTTGATCTTTTCCTTTATGCTTTCGGTACTTGACTTTTCTATGTGCTAAAATCAAGATTCATCATCAATAACGACAAGTTTGCATAATAGTTTGCATGATTTCCAGTGTGACAGCATGGAGTACTCAAAAAGCTGGCAGGGACCTTCACGATTGTAAACGAATATATGCAAGTACGCAACAGCTGCAGCGTAGATATAAAGGTTTTAAATCACAGTGCTTAAAAAATCTGTGCTTTCTTGGCTATCTGTGATTGTTGCACGCTTTCAATTTCAGCTCCTCAATCGTAACATGAACTAGTTTTATGAACTAACTATTAAGTATATAATGCCTAAGGAATGTATAATGCACATACGTGCTGACAGTCATGTGATCAGCTGACACGCTGGACGGTGCATCACAAAATTAGAAGGCGACGACCCCTTTCAAGAACAACAACATGGTCCTAAAATCTTTGTAAACCAAATCACCAGCCCTGATGATGCAAGGTTTTTCCGGTGTCTCTCTAACAGTCTGTATCATCAGCTGTGAATCTCTCATCACCATCGTATAACTACTGTCGCCTGACAATTAAGAACTTCAGTTTTAAACGGCTGTTTAAAGCACTTTGATTAAAGGAGGGAAAAAAGATAATCACGATTGCTGTACAACTCTTAAAATATGATTTTATGAAAAAGTTTCATACATTATCTGCTTGAATAAGCAGAACATTCAACGAAAATGAACTAAATGATTAGGCCAGGGATGAGTCCCTTAGTCTTGTGACTTCTTGTTAAACTCCAGCAAAACAGTTATTCATTACCAACCTGCAACGGGAGAATTTCATTTGGCAGAACACCGTGCTCAGAGATAAAAAATTACGGAACAGAATACCGATAAGATGCAGGTTTCCATCGTTCTGTTCATCAAATATAAATAAACGAATACAATTATGTGAAGAGAAATCGAAGAGTACTTTGCAGCCGTGACTAATGGTATAAAAAGGAAATTCAGCGCCACATCATAAGCTGAAGGAAAGAGGGCTACTTCGATGAGTAGCACATGGCTTCCGTTGCGGACGTGAAAAGAAGTCCGATGTTTCGATAGTAAAAAACTTTCTTTTCCCTTTCATCATGAACTTACAGTGATTTTCAGCTTAAGTAACGTATACAGCATATCCGGATGAAGCATCCTCGTGTTCTTACGTGCGAACCGATTTATAGCCCTCACGGCTTCCAAAGATATTTCTCCACTAATGTCCGTGTCAAAAATGTGTTCGAATATCTCGCAGCACTTCCGTCGCACCTGCGAGAAAAAAACAGTACAAAACAGAAGAAACCAGACCGACCAAAACAAAATATTATTACCTGGTCGTCTTTCGACGTCATTAACGGTACCAAAACGATGATGATGCCATCCCTGTAGTTAAAAAATGGATGATGAGCTAAAAGTCGTCCATAACATTCTACAGCGGTTAAGCACAATTTTGAGGAGTGAACCCGAAAGTCCTTCAATCGACTTTTCTGTCCTAAAAATTTTATTTTTCTACACCGAAGAAACAAAATTTATGCTGCCAACACACATATAGAAAAAATCCAAAAGCTTAATCAATAAACTTATTGAAAAATATAATAGTAAACGTAGCAAGGATAGGTCCAGACTCTAAATATGTTTAGAGCTCATATTTTGCGAAAGATACGTAAGGAGTACTGACTCTCAAAACATTCCTGGCAACGAGTAAGGTACTCCAACCAAAAAAATGATATGAAATACATCGACGCTGCGTTAGGCTCTCAGTTACATGTGATACTACATAGTCCGCTCAGACTTCTAGGCGTTTAGAAATAACGGGCAGTTTCATATACCATGAAACATTCGGTTGGGAGGAATTTTATTCATATTATACTTAGGCATATGAAACAATGTTTCCTACGTTCCCCACGGCATGTAAAGTCGTTTTTTCTCGGGGCATTAAAAATAGCAGACAACGTGAAATGGCACACAATTTTATGCATATTGAAATTTGATTAAAAAACGATTAATTATAATAATACTGTTTTAACTGTGGAGTAAAATAATAATAATATTAGAGACTGCACAAGCAAGAGACTGTGCAGCTTTGCCACTTTTCAATATAATCCGGTGTAATAACTTTAATGGTGGTACAGGTATATTAACTTATAATAGATTTTAAACCTAAAGGAATATCA